CAGTAGAAAGTCAGAGATTTATTGTACTTCTAGATGATGATGGACATAGAGGCCTTGTACCACTCAGTTCTGCCCTGGGTCTGACAGGAGGCAAACTGAAAGTTCTCCTGAGAATCATCCTGATTTCTCAGCCGAGATCACACAGCTGATATCCACCCAGGGTAAACAGCAGTTAATTCTTAATTGGTAGCTCAGCCACTGCAACTGGCTCAACAGTAATTATCCTCATGTGGTTTTGTTGCACTCAATTGCCAGGGTTCTTCCTGGTCTCCTGTCCTTGTGCATCAAAGATACTTATAAAGGTCAGAGCCAGGACTGGAAAGATGGCTTGGCGGTTAAGAGCGTATTCCAGACGACCTGGGTTCAGTTCCCAACACCTACACAGGGCAGACTATCTCCAGCTCCAGGGTGAATCCATTGTCTTTAGCCTCCAGTCACCTGTCCTCATGTGTACATACGTAGAAGTGCCTGCACATACACGCAGACACATACACATAATTAAAAACAATAAAAATAAACCTAAAAAAAAGGTCCGTGCCAGGCTCGATAGCACAGGTCTGTCTCAGCTACTAGGGAGACGGAGGCAGGATAACTTCTTTTTTATGTATTTTATTCTTTTTATGTGTATGAGTGTATTGCCTGCATGTGTGTAAGTGCACCCACGTCATGCAATGCCCAGGGAGGTCAGAAGAGGGCACTGAACCCCCTGGAACTGGAGTTATGAACGGTTATTAGCCCCATGTGGGTGCTGGGGAAGGAACCCGGTCCTCTGCAAGAACCACCGGTGCTCTTAACCGCTGAGCATCTATCTCTCCAGGATAACAATGTCAAGGCCAGCCTGGGTTACTGAGTTCAGGTCCAGCCTGAGCTACGGGGTGAACTGTGGACTCAGAACGAAGACAGACAGAAGGTAAGGAGCACTTTTTCCGCACTCGGGGGTCCATCTGCCTGGGAGGCGCGTGTGCAGAGCAGCCACGTGGCTGGGTTCGCACCAGGCCCGGGCCGCGTTTGGAGACCCCGCCGTGTCCCCGGGTACCCCGCAGGCCCGGGCGCGCCTAGGCCGGCTTCGGGGGTTCAGTAGCCGAACCCCAGCCTCGGGAAGCGGCTCGGCTCGGCTCGACGCCCTCCTCCAGCCCCGCTCCGCCAGGAACGTGGGAGCCCTGCGGCGCCCCGAGAGGCCGCCGCGCCGAGCCAATCCGCGGGCCACCCCCGCGCAGGCCCCGCCCCTCCCCTGAGTGGCCGCTCTCCCAGCCAATCAGCGGGCCGCCCTCGCAGGCCCCGCCCCCAGCCCTGAGCTGGCTCCCGCCGGGGTGGCGCTGCGCGGGGAGGAGCGGTGGGAGGCCAGGGAGGCGGCACCTGGGCGCGGTGATGTCAGCCCAGCGCGGCGCCCCGGCCCCGGCCCCGGCTCCTGCGGCGTAGGGCGCCGACCGCCGACCGCGCTGCCCGGCGGAGCCGCCACCTGTGGAGCGGCCGGGGTCAGGTAAGCGGGGCCTGCCTCCTCCCGCCGGGACTCGGTCAGGAGGGGTGCTGGACTCGGTACCCGGGGGGCCCGGAGGGGTGCTGGGACTCGGTACCCGGGGCTCTGGTCAGGGAGGGGTACTGGGACTCGGTACCCGAGACTCCGGTCAGGGAAGGGTGCTGGGACTCGGTGTCTGGGACCCGGTACCGCGGACTCCGGTTAGGGAGGAGTGCTGGGACTCGGCACCCGGGATTCCGGTCATGGAGGAGTGCTGGGATTCGGCACCCCAGACTCTGCACAGCACCCCAGAACTCCGGTCAGGGAAGGCTGCTGGACCCCGCACCCCAGACTCTGCACAACACCCCAGAACTCCTGTCTGGGAGGAGTGCTGGGACTCGGCACCCCGGACTCTGCACAGCACTCCAGAACTTTGGAGAGTCAGGGAACTGTACTCAGATCCCTCACCCCAGACTTCCCACAACCCCACAGACAGTCAGGGAAGAGTGCTGGGACTCAGCCCCCCAGTCCCCCATTTTCCTGGAGTGTGCTTGGACCCGGGACCCCAGCTTCCTGTGATGCCACAGAGCCGTCAGGGAGGTGTATGTGGGGGTGAGGAATATTTTTAAAATGCCACAAAAAGGTTTTGTGAATCATCTCAAAAAGTAAGCATTATGATAGAAAAAAGTTGTATTTTTTCAGTTCCCTTCTGCCCCATAATCCATCAAGAACATCAGTGTTGCTCTTACACAGCGGTGTAAAATATTCTTTGACATAGTTCAGGCGGGATGGGAGACATTTCCTTGGGGTGCATCAGTTAGCCTGTGGGAGCACTGGCCTCTTGGGGACTCATTTCTGAGGTCTACTTGTGTTAGGAGCACCACTCATCCCTAATCTGCCTGGGGCAGCTGGGGAAGAGGGTGATTATGTTTTCAGGGTTCACCTTTAGGGAGTTTGAACAGGGACATGTGGAAGGCGTGGCATTCAGACTCTTATCATGAGAATGTGAGTTTTTCAACATGTGGGACCAAAACAAAAACTCCCTTTCAGTCAGAAGCTGGGAACCTGATTTAAAAGCCCGAGTTTGGAGTCTGCTGAAGGATCCGGATTTTTCTTTTTGGTTTCTCCCTGCCTGGAGATTCTCTGTGCACAGGTCACCCACTGGGTGTGATTAGCCTTCTGGGGGGCGAGGATGACTCTGAACACACTGATTCTAACCTTGGCTGTTATCGGCGTTTCAAGGCTATTTTAGAGCAAGAGAAAGACCAAGTGTGGCTGAGACTCCGACTCAAGTTTCCCCTTTCCACCGGGCAGTTCCGCAGCATGAGGATCCCCCCTTTGCCAGGGCTGGAGGAAGTGGAGTCATTGTTAGTCAAAAGCTGCATCCCGGACCAAAAGGGCATTTCCAGGAGATGGGGACAGGCACCACATGATGTCCAGTAAACTCCAGGCAGGAAGTGTGGGGTTCTGTGAAGGTCTCAGTCTTATAGCCAGACAGTTAGGTGTCAGAACCAGAAAGAACAATTTAGTTTGTTTGCTTTATTTAAAAAATACCTGGGTCATTCATTATTGTTCTCAGTTCCTGAAAAAAGTTAAATAACACAGGGTAAAGAGCAGCTGTTTTGACAACCCCTGCCCCCTCTTCCTCCCTCCCCCCTCCCCCCCATTTGGGGCAGGATTGCCCCATGTAGCCCAGGCTGGCCTTAAACTTGTACTTTCCTTGGCCTGCCCCTGAGGTTACAGGTCTGTGTGTGCCACTGTGCTCAGCAAGAATGGGCGTTTTGAAAAGGGAATGTGTCTCTCACTGGGACAGAACATTTTAATTTTGGTTTGTGTTTTGGGCTAAGGCATAGAAATTTCGATTGGCTCAGCAAGAATGTTGAACAAGACTTTATATTTATGGTCTGTGAAAGTATGTAAACTGTATTTTCCAATGTAGTTTTCTTTTAATTAGGAAAGAGATGTGGAGTTCCTGTGGGCATTGAGGTGAGCTCTCTCTAACCTCGGTGTAGCCTTGGCTGATAAGACTATTTAAAGGGCATGTGGCCAAAAGATAGAGCTGCAAATACCAGACAGCCAAGGAAAAAGTTGAGAAAGCGTTTATTTTTTGTAATACGTAATTTATTTCTTGACAAGTTTTAAAACAGTTTTTTTGAATAATTTGACTAATCGTCATTTTATATAATTTGAATTATTATTTCTCATAGTTTATGTTTATGAGGGCAGATGTGCTATATTAAATATGGTACATAATTTTTAAAAAATTTATTCATTTTTATTTTATGTGTACGAGCGTTTGGCCTGCATGTATGTAAGTGCACTATGTGCATACCTCGTGCCTGCAGGGGCCAGAAGAGCATATCAGGTCCCCTGGAACTTGAGTTAGGATAGGTGTCAGCTGCCACGTGGGTGCTGGGAATGGAAGCCAGGTCCTCCAGAAGAGCAACGAGCACTCTTAACTGCTGAACCATGTCTCCAGCCCCCAAATATGGTCCTTCTAAAGGAGAGTTCTTAGGTCACCGAGGTGGTTCAGCAGGGTACGGCACTTACTGCCAGGTCTCGTCCCCAGAACCTACACGGTGGAGGGAGAGAACTGACTCACACAAAATTGTCCTCCAGCCTCAGCTCCCCCAACACATGTGGTGTGCGCGCACACACACCCAAATAAATGTGAAAAAATGAGAGTTCTTTTTGTCTAATGTTTGATTTATTGAGGAAGGTAGGATTAGGTTTTGATTTGATTCCTTTTGATAAACAATTCTTCTTTTAGCTACTTTAAAAATAAGACTCACCTGTTCTTACTGAACAAGCAACTTGAAACTCAGGCCACAACATAATTCCAGATCAATAATGTGTAATTGCAAAGCTGGTAAACTGTTCCTGAGAACAAGTTCATTGAGGGAGTGTCCGTTACCTGTTGCATGGTCTTTTTGTCATTGTTCCATGAGATAAGTCAGAAGGCCACATTCCCCTGTTGCTGGCCAGCTGACTTCTCTTGAAATCCTTCATGTCCATGGGATACTTGCATTTTGTAGTTCATCACGCTCATAATTCATTACATTAAAAGGAAGATTTTGAGTTGTTCATCCCGTTTCCTTTTTTAAAAGATTTATTTTTATTTTGTATGTATGAATATTTTGCCTGTATGTGCATACAGCACTCACAGAGACCAGAAGAGGGTGCAGATGATCCCCTGAAACTAGAGTAATAGACGGTTCTGGGCCACCATGTGGGTCCTGGGAACCAAACCCAGGTCCTCAGCAAGCGCTCTTACCCACTAAGCCATCTCTGTATCAAAGGCACCTGTATTATGCAGTACTTCAGGAGGTCAGAAGAGGGCATTGGATCCCCTGGAATTGGAGTTACAGACAGTTGTTAGCCGCCATGTGGGTGCTGGGAATTGAACCTGGGTCCTCTGCAAGAACAGCCAGTGCTCTTAACTGCTGAGCCATCTCTCCAGCCTCTATGTCTCAAATAGCACAATTTTCAAACTTAGTTTGAAAATTTGTTTTGGGTGTGTGTGCGTGTGTATGTGTGTGTGGCTGGAGGTAGATGTCAGGTGTCCTGTCCTCCAGTGTGTGTGTGCGTGCATGCGTGCGTGCGTCTGTGCGTGGCTGGAGGTAGATGTCAGGTGTCCTGTCCTCCAGTGTGTGTGTGTGCGTGCGTGCGTGCATGCGTGCGTGGCTGGAGGTAGATGTCAGGTGTCCTGTCCTCCAGTGTGTGTGTGTGTGTGTGTGCGTGCGTGCGTGCGTGCGTGCGTGGCTGGAGGTAGATGTCAGGTGTCCTGTCCGTTGTCTGTACCTTGCTTTCTCAAACGGGGCCTCTCATAGTGCAGCAGCCATGGTGAGATCTTTCAGAAAGTCTTAATTATAATTTTTGAAACCATTGTCAAAAAAGATGAATTTAAATAAGAGACTGAAAGCTATTAAAGTTAACACCCCATTTTGGTGCCGGGTGGTGTTTAGCAGTAGAGAGAACGGTGTATCTGTCTACTGGCCAGCATTTCGGTGCAACTAAAACTCCATAAATTCATAATTAGTTCACAGTTAATCATCAAACTGTTCAGAACTGACTCTGTCCAAACACTGCTCTGGCTTTTGCCGTCCGTCATCTGTGTCTTGCTGCTTACTTATTTCTCAGATTTATTACAGCGCATGTCAGTACCTGCTGCTTAGTAAACCCCTGAAGCTTTTGTGACATATGTCATAAAGATTAATGCTTTATTAAATGAAGCTCATGGCTGAAAATGATTCAAAGACTTCTATTTTTTGCCTCCTTTGACACGCAGTCATTACCCTTGGTAGAAACCAGAGTAGTGAGGGTTTCTTTTCCCTGTTTTGTTTCTACTTCGAAAGAACTGAAATACCAAACAACTTGATTCTAGGTTAAAATTGGGCTCCCTGAGAAGCTTTAAGTCTGCCTGCTTGGTGAACAGTTTCAGGGCTAGAAGGGAGATCCGAGTTCAGTGTGTAGAAGTTTGTACCACTGAATAGTTTCTATTTCTGAAATGTGGGTCTGGACTCTGAGTGGGCCAGGTGGGTGTGCTGTCACGGATTGTGACTGAACTTGGGTTATGTGTCTCCCTGGAACTTGGTGTGACTCATGGTTTGACTGGCCCACACTTACATCTTTGTTTTTGTTGGCAAGGGTAGGGAGTTGAGAATAGACCGACCATTTAGTGGTTTCTGTGCCGTGGCACACCTAAAAATGCCCACAACTGAAGGAACTGTACAAACTTAAAATTGCATAGAGTAGAGGCATTCTCGAAGAGTCATGGCTCAGATACGGATCGTGTAGGAGGATGATCAGACTACATAGTAATTGGGTTGTCCGTACATTTTAGGAACACCCTTGTGGGTCGGATAGGAATGAACATTTTTACCTGTTCTTAATTATTCAAGCTTTTGACATGAAATACACATCTTCAGGGAAGCAGGTCTGACATTCCTAGTGGAGGTAGGGCTGGATGTGACCAAGATAAATTGTTTGTGTGGATAGGTGGGTATATTTAATTATCAAATAAT